GTCTATTATTATTATTATTATTATTATTATTATTATTATTATTATTATTATTATTATTATTATTATTATTATTATTATTTTCAACTCACGCTCTCATTATGTACTCCCGTATATTTATTTTGTCTGTTTGTATTTTGTTGTGCTACGCCCGCATGATTTATTCATAATTTTTTTATCGCCCATTTTTTTACAGCATGGCCGTTCAGACTCGTACAGGGTCGCCACGTTACCCAACATTCGCGATGACAACAAAACCGCAGATGGGATGTACAAGGTATATTCAGAGATGGACTCTACGTCTTGATTTGAATTCTACGTAATTAACATTTGTGGGTCTGGTACGCTTCTTTGGTCAGCAGACGAAATATTTGGAGCATAAATGGGACATTTCTTTCGCTCTTTCCTTCTATCTCTTCTTTTCTATTTCTTCTCTCTTCTCTCTTTCTCTATTGCTCGTCGCTTTCTTTATACCGGTCTCTATCTCCGGTCGTTTCTTCATGATAACAACACGCTTCTCTTCATTAACTGTACTTTGGTAGAAATCTTCTTGGAGAAGATTTCCTTCGTTCTTCTGAAACTCTTTCACGTTTTTACTTTGGTATCAGCTCCGTGAAATTTTAACGCATGACAAAAGAAGACGCTTATCGGTACTGGACTTTGAATTGGGACAGCATTATAATATTTTAATATAATATCTTGACGATCAGTGTCGAAATATTATATTCTTTTTATAAGAAAAGAAAGTTTTTTGTTGACACTTTATTCAGCAACGATCTATTGGATGAGATAAGATTGCACCGAATCTACTTGTCTATAAAAGACAAGGAAGGAGTTTCCGCTCAATTGTTCGAGAAATAACGTTATTTTATATAGTTTCGTCGTTGACACAAACTATATAAAACTTGGTTACTCGTCAATTATTTTTGCTGACGTCGCATGACTCCGAAACATTCCTATCATTCTAGTGCAATCCTATCTCATCTTACGATACACGGGATATCATTGCGACTCGCTTCTCGGCGATATCGTTGTAATCGACTTCTTCTGCTGTCCTCACTCGTCGCTGGGTTTTCAATCTCGACTCTTGTAATTCGACACACTTCGACAATCTTCTCCTTCTCTTCTATCTTGCCTCTTCTATCTTATTAAAATATCTCGTTGATTAACGCGTCGCGGTAATACGAGAAATGTAATCGCTTCGGAGCTTTGTAATCGTAGCAGTATTATAAGGGGGTGTGTACACAGCACACGATGTGGATGCGATTCAGAAAATATTTCTCAATAACGTTGCTTTTCTCTGTTCTGGTTAATAGTCGCGGCGGAAGAACCCAAAGCGAAGGGGGGACAATTTAGATGACCTGAAGCAGGAGTTGGACATTGACTTCCACAAAATCTCACCCGAGGAACTGTATCAAAGATTTCAGACGCACCCCGAAAACGTAAGTAATATCTTACGATAATCTTTTTTCGAGGAAGTGGGATTTAGTTCGAATCGAGATTGACGTCAACAGTGCCGCGAGTTAAAAAAGTTATTATGGACAATGGCTTCCATTTCGCAATAAGATGTAATAAGATGTAATAAGAGGGAAAGATTTTAAAACGAAAATTAGTTGACGACGCTAAAAAAAAAGAAAAACGATTTATGATTTGACCGATCATTGTGATATGTGTCAATAGTATTTATATAATATTGATGAACAGGGCCTCAGCCACGCGAAAGCGAAGGAAAATCTGGAGAGGGATGGGCCGAATGCCCTGACGCCACCGAAACGGACCCCGGAATGGGTCAAGTTCTGCAAAAACCTGTTCGGCGGTTTCGCCCTCCTGCTGTGGATCGGTGCGATCCTCTGCTTCATCGCTTATTCGATTCTGGCCTCGACCAGCGAGGATCCGAATGACGACAATCTCTATTTGGGCATCGTCCTCGCGGCAGTCGTGATAGTCACGGGTATATTCTCGTACTACCAAGAGAGCAAGTCGAGCAAGATCATGGAGTCATTCAAGAACATGGTGCCGCAATTCGCCACCGTGATCCGGGAGGGTGAGAAGCTCACCCTACGGGCGGAGGATCTCGTGCTGGGCGACGTCGTCGAAGTTAAATTCGGCGACCGGATACCGGCCGACATTAGGATTATCGAGGCTCGTGGATTCAAGGTGGACAACAGCTCGCTGACGGGCGAATCCGAGCCGCAATCGAGGTCGCCCGAGTTTACGAATGAGAACCCACTTGAGACGAAGAATCTCGCCTTCTTCTCGACAAATGCGGTGGAAGGCACGGCCAAAGGTGTGGTAATCTGCTGCGGCGATCAAACGGTGATGGGAAGGATCGCGGGTCTTGCATCCGGCCTGGATACCGGTGAGACGCCAATCGCCAAGGAGATTCATCACTTTATACACCTTATTACCGGTGTCGCTGTCTTCCTCGGCATCACATTCTTTATCATAGCCTTCATCCTGGGTTATCACTGGCTCGATGCCGTTATCTTCCTAATCGGTATCATCGTGGCAAATGTACCGGAGGGTCTCCTTGCTACTGTGACTGTGTGCCTGACTTTGACCGCCAAGCGAATGGCCTCGAAGAACTGCCTGGTGAAGAATCTCGAGGCTGTGGAGACCCTAGGCTCGACCTCGACCATCTGCTCAGACAAGACCGGAACCCTCACGCAAAATCGTATGACGGTGGCGCATATGTGGTTCGACAATCAGATTATCGACGCCGATACCACGGAGGATCAGTCTGGTTTGCAGTACGACCGTACCAGTCCGGGTTTCAAGGCGCTGGCAAAGATCGCGGCTCTCTGCAATCGTGCCGAGTTCAAGCCGGGCCAGGAAGGTGAACCGATTCTGAAGCGAGAGGTGAACGGCGATGCTTCCGAAGCCGCGTTGCTCAAATGCATGGAACTCGCATTGGGCGACGTCATGGGTATTAGGAAACGCAACAAAAAAGTCTGCGAGATTCCCTTCAACTCTACTAATAAATATCAGGTATCCATACACGAATCGGACGATCCCAACGATCCTAGGCATCTTTTGGTTATGAAGGGTGCTCCCGAGAGAATTTTGGACAGATGTTCGACCATATTTATCGGCGGCAAAGAGAAGGTAATTTATTTAATAGATTCTCTTTCTCTCTTCGTTTATCTATAAATCTCTCCCATTTTCTATTTAATCTTTTCACGTCTTTGATATTGAAAGGTTCTCGACGAAGAGATGAAAGAAGCGTTCAATAACGCGTACTTGGAATTGGGCGGACTTGGTGAACGAGTGCTCGGCTTCTGTGATTACATACTGCCGTCCGACAAGTTCCCGGTTGGTTTCAAGTTCAATGCCGACGACCCCAACTTCCCAGTCGACGGGCTCCGCTTCGTAGGCCTGATGTCTATGATTGATCCGCCTCGGGCCGCGGTGCCTGATGCGGTCGCCAAGTGCCGTTCCGCCGGCATTAAGGTCATCATGGTAACCGGTGACCACCCGATCACTGCCAAAGCCATTGCCAAATCCGTCGGCATCATCTCTGAAGGTACGTTCCGCACGTTATGCAGTAGTGCACTTTATCATATAACAAACTCTCTCGAATGACGTTCGAGATTAGATATCGCCACGGTATCTTCGAGACTTTATTCGTCGATCTCGATCATGACGCTTTTATGAGTTTAATCTTTTAATGAGATGTAATTTTGAGATAATAGATCATGCTTAAGATTTACAACGATACATTTATGCGGAACTTGTGGCGGTTTTATTGAAGGATAATGCCAAGTTCGCACTGTAAAAAAACACGGTCACATGTCCAGCTTTTTGATTGACGATCGCGTATATTTTAATTCACACAATATATGAAATATTTATTTGCTTTTAATAATCTTATCGGTTTTGTATTGACCTAAGGAAGATTTGTCTATCCTAAGAGTAGTTATCTAATTTAAAAATTTTTTAAAAAGATCAATCTTTTAAATCAATCTTCATTTTTCTTATATCCATTTCTATTAATGTTATTCCCATCTTCTTATCAGGTAATGAAACTGTTGAGGACATTGCGCAACGGTTAAATATCCCGGTATCCGAAGTAAATCCTCGCGAGGCTAAAGCCGCGGTCATTCACGGAACCGAACTCAGGGAACTGAACTCCGACCAATTGGACGAGATTCTCAGGTACCACACCGAAATTGTGTTCGCCCGTACCTCGCCCCAGCAGAAGCTCATCATCGTCGAAGGCTGCCAGCGAATGGGTGCGATCGTCGCTGTAACTGGTAAGTTACTCGAGGGAAAAACATGTGACATGAATATTTTACATAGTAGTATTATGAAAAAACTATTCAACAATCGGAACTCTCGTTGAATCTTTTTAATAGAATAGACTAATACAGCTTTGACATTATATTAATATTATAATGTAATAATTGTCTATATTTGAAACTTTAATTTACTCTTTAATTTATTCAGGCGACGGTGTGAACGACTCGCCTGCTTTGAAAAAAGCCGACATTGGTGTCGCTATGGGCATTGCTGGTTCAGACGTCTCCAAGCAAGCAGCCGACATGATTTTACTTGATGACAATTTTGCCTCGATCGTAACAGGCGTGGAAGAGGGTCGTTTGATCTTTGACAACTTAAAAAAGTCCATCGCCTACACCCTGACCTCGAATATACCCGAAATCTCGCCTTTCCTGGCGTTCATCCTCTGCGATATTCCTTTGCCATTGGGTACTGTCACCATTCTTTGCATCGATTTGGGAACCGACATGGTAAGTCATGAAATATTACGTGGAAACGATGACTTGGATCGAGTAACGATATTCAGAAGAGACGTTTGCATCTCGAGAAAAACTCTTCCAAAATTGCTACTCGATCTTTCTATTGGCTAATCATATTATTTCAGCTCATGCTCCTTATTATGATAATTATAATAATTTATACAGTTACGAAGGCATGACTGTTTCTCGAAGATACGGTAGCCTTTGACACTTATATTGATCGATAGGTACCAGCGTGATATGTTTGGAATATTAAACCTGATACACGACGACTCTGTGATGTCCACCAATAATTGTTCAAAAATTTGTCCAACAATATTTTCTTTTTTTATAGATAACAATGCATTTCAAGGTAGCGATGCAATAGTCAAGATGGTGGCCAGCAACTTGTTTTCATCGATTAATCTCTTGAATATTCTTATGTCTTTTTAGATTAATTGCAGTGATGGGGCAAAACAAAAGCATAATTTAGATAAAATATAATTTCACATAGAAATTTAAAATTAAATAGAGAAAATTAAATAAGATGCGTTTAAATACAAATAATAAATTTGCACGTAGATAGGATAGAAATAGAGATTTATTGCAACGAGATTAAATATTTGTATAATTTAATGTTTCTTTTCAGGAACTTTATCTTTCTCTTTCTCCATGAGAAAGTTGCTTAGTGTGTTTATCCATGCGAGACCTCAAATTTCCTTTAAATCCCCTTGATATCTTCCAACCAATTTCTTAATCTCATTAATTTAGTTTGTTATTTTTCAGTTGATTATTTTCTGTTTATTCTCTATTGTTTATTGTACATAAGAATGCTGTCGATATCGATTCTGTTATCTCGTCTTTTTAAGATTGTATTTATAGTGGTATCATGTTATATACGAAATTAACGACTGAAAATTTTAAATGCGATGAACGCGACACGTCAGCATTCTTACTTCAACATCATCCGAAGACATTCTCGTTATCTAATTGTTGGCGTTGTTACTGAGCTCTTTGATAATGTGACGTCAGGTACCCGCCATCTCGCTAGCCTACGAGGAGGCAGAGAGCGATATTATGAAGCGACAACCACGAAACCCCTTCACTGACAAGCTAGTTAATGAAAGGTAACACATCAATAACGTACAGTGAATATTGACGATACATCAGATTTTCTATAATTCGAAAGAGTTATCGGTGATGATGCGCTGTATTTTCGAAGTTTTCTTCCCCGATTGATGAACTGCATCCAATTTAAATATCTTTCGACAAAACTTGCTGACTTTCCTGAAACAAGTTTTTTGAGTAATAGTTTAAACGTTTTCTAAAAATCGGGCAGAGCTTCGAGAATTCAATTACACGGCGATCGCTCTCTCACTCTATCGGCTATTTCGTCTTTCTATGATGACTTTAGTAGTTAGTCCGTTCCATATATCTCTTCTATCATACGACATAAAGTTCGATGTGGAAAGACGACACGCATATATTGGTACACTGGTCTCTTTTTTATTCGGTCGTCATTCGATATCCACGCACGACAGAAACTGGATAACAACGATTCGCGGGCAAATTAATTCCTCGTATGAATAATGTATTTTCTTTAATTTTCTGTTTCCGCGATTTATCGAGTGGTGTTTCGAGTATTGTTTACGTAAGTATTTTAAATAGCTGTAAAAGTTAGTCTTTGTCTTTCATTTTCCCTTTCAAAGTACAATTCGAACTACTTTGGTTATTGTCATCAAGGTCACTTGATAAAGTTCACGCGATGTAAGGATTAATTTGCCAAGCCTATCGCTCGAATTGTCGAGTCGGACACGCTAAGACAAAGCGTGGATAAGGTAATAATGGGATATGGTGCACGCAGACGCAACGCTCCAGGGTGTTTGGTCGCTGGGACACGCGAGCTTTATTTTCAATCCGTTCTTTTCTCTTTTCGTATCCTATATTCGCTCTAACAATAAGCTGGATTGAATTTCGTTAAGTGACGCTTGCTCGTCCCTTTTCGTCGTCGATCTTTACAGAATAATTTTCAGAAAAAAGTATTTTTATAAAAAAGAAATATTAGAGAACCAAATAATGATCGTACATATCTCTCTCTCTCT